TACTGAACATTCAATTTGCGGTATTATTCGTTCCTCTCCAAAGCTCCAGCATCTTGACATTACCTTTTGTGAAATTATTTCTGATATGACTATCGAAGAAATTGCTAGATCATGTCTTAATCTAAAATATCTTAATTTGAGAGGGTGTTATAATATTAGCAAAAAAGCCGTAGATCAGCTCGTTTCACTTAATCCAAATATCCATATCAAAAATTTTGAGGAAACTTTATCACCCCCTAATCTCATTGGAGTGGTTATAAACCATCTTACACAGAACAACGTTGCTAATAGACAGACTCTAGTTTGCCTTCAGAATTCGGTTCTATCTATGATACGCCGGCGACATAGAGCTGGTGAAAGAATATTAGCCCCAGAATGGTGTTACTCTACCGATCTAACTAATCCGGAGCAGTGATCACCAGCTCGGAAGACTTAGCACAGATTTCTGTGCAATGATGTAATAGCCGATCACCAGGCAGGTTTGTGTGACATATTAATTTCGCATATATACTCGCTAACCAGTACCTCTATTTTTTCCCAAACCAACATGAGAAAAATTAGGCGCTTCGCATGAAAGGGGGTCTACACGCAACACGGGACCAGCTCTAAAAGTAAATAGTTCCGACAAAAGCATATGTTATGAAAGGCGGAGGGAGTCACAATTTCGAGATCATCAGGCGTAAAGCTACTTCGAGTCTTTCCGGTAGATCTACATGTGAAAAGGTTTGAAAATTTCACTTGCATGTGCTTTCATGGAACTCTTAGCATCATACGACAATACTAATTACGCCATATACCTCCTTATCTTTTTTCCCAGCCAGATATAAAGCATGTAGGAGTATGTGGAAGTTCAGCCAACCATCCCGCAAAAATCTTCCTAGAGAAAATAACGCAAAATAAGGTATGTATATGCCAGAAGTCATGTATGTGTTTTAGCGTCTAAGGTCATGGGAGCGAGTTTCTCATTATGGGTCTTGTGTTTAGGGATCGAAAAAAATGGCCAACACCAGAACTAATATAAATCTTCGCATTGAGGGTGGTGCTATTTTTATGTTTAAAATTGATTTGGCTATGACAGATGTTAGAGCACTTAAAGATGCGCTTTATACCTTAGGGTATGTTAGTTCTAGAGATGTTAGACTCGTCAAGGTCGATTTGGGTAGAGAACTCGAGATGAATATGATACCTATTATGGTCAAAGATTATTTCGGTGATCCCTATCACGATCCTAATATAATTCATATTGTTGTAAAAAATTCTCCTCCCTCTACTGAAACAACGATCTCGGTGCCCCCAACCACAGATAAATAGAATTTTATCTATATTTCATTATTATGCTGTAATAGTTTTTATGTATTATAGGCTAGCTTGGTCCCTCTAGGACCCTTCCGGCAATATTTTTTATTTCATAAATAAAGTATTATTATTGTACTGTACATGAGAAATGGGTCACGTGTAATGGTGCGGTCCATATAATATCAGGACTAGCCGTAAAGGCGCTTCGCATAAATCTAACACTTTTATCTAGCCTATATAAAAAACGTCAGGTGATAAGTGAGAAGAGTCTTCATGGTTAGGGAGGCGTAGTGATTAGGTGATTGTTGCACTTATGATGCAATGTGGCCGATCATACGGTAGGCTTGTGAAACAGAATAATTTCTCACATATACTGGGCTTTGGTATTTTTTCGCAAATAAAATTCTTTTTACTCTTGTCCTCACATACGCCAGTTTGCACCAATAATATTCCACAAAAAATACTATATAAGCCGAAAACATGTCTATCACTTTACTATGTCTCATCAAAGGAAATACGACCGCTAGTGCTTTCGCCGTAGATATTGATAGGGAAAAGCTGGTTAGCACCTCAAGAAAGTTATTAGAGAAGAGATAGATGTTCCAGCTAATTTTAAGGCGAAAGATTTGAAACTATGGAAGGTGACGATCCCTGACGATTAGGACGATCTCTTAAGCAATCTCATTCTCAATGATGAACCCGAGCTCCTTGCAACAAGAGAAATTGGAGACTACTGGACTGAGAAACCGCCTAAGAGGAATATTCATGTTATTGTAAAATTGCCACGTAAGTGTCTGGTACAGTCTGTGCAAAGCGCCTTAACGGCTAATTTTTCATCATTTGGCCTAGTAATATTAACACTTTTTCGTTTCCAGTTCTCAGCTTGGAAGAGGCGTTGTCGTGTATTCCACCACCCATAACATATTCTCTGAAATGCACTCTGTCAAAGACCACTACAAAGGTCAGTGGTGTCTCACCAACAAGCGTAAAGCTTTGGGGAGACTTTTCGAAGAAGTGAACAGGTTCCGCTTCGACCAACAACCGAGATTCAAGAGGCCGAAATTCGATGATAGAATTATTGTGGTCAAGGAAGAGGTTGTTCGTGTTGCTATTCACGTTAATATTTGTTTGACATTGAATAATCTTATGGGACCAGATTACGAATATTCGATGTGACAAACTGAAGGTACCGGCGAACCTGATTTCACTTGTCACTATCTTGTGGATTCATTGATCTTGGTGATTGAGGCGAAAAGAAAGCATGTTTTAGAAGATATGGGTGAACAGACATTTCCCGAGTTTATCAGACGAGTGCATTGGCCAAGGATATAATTCAGCAAATCTACAATTATATGGGAGAAACGAATTTAGTTATGGTATTCTCGCCACTTATGACAATCACTGGTTTCTACGTCGGGAGCATACAGAACTCTGGATCTCAAAAACCCTTCCACTGCAATCCGAATCTCCACCTGTACTCAAGGCATATGCTTATCTAACTCGACAGACAAAAGAGAATACCAAGTCTTCTCATCCTCAAGTACTAGTATCAGTTCACGGGGACAATAATTCACGTACACTTCGATTACACATGAAATCACCTTCCAGCTCCTCATTAAACCCTATAAATAATTAGTATAAGGAAAGTATACGGAAATAATACGTTTAATAAACATATAAAAAACGTAGACA